CTTTACCTTTGAGTGCTTTCCTATCAATTCACAATGTCTGTCATATCTCCTAGTTGAAATTAACTCTTTCAGGTTTTACACTAGTGAAACAATGCAGTGCTTGCACATGTATGTTTGATTTATTTCATTTATGAGTATGATCTCTAGTTGTGACCATTTACCTATAAGGAAACCTTTTTCTACGTATTGGATTCCAAACAGCTGTCCACGGGCCACCTAAAGATTCTTCAGCTTCAATTCAGGCCTATCTGAATAGTAATCTTCCAGAGATACAGAAAAATGAATTAAAAAAAACCAAAATTCATAAATAATTGTGATGCCCACTTTGAAAGCCGCCATGATAATAAATTGTGGTAATCATGCATTCTGGTGAAGCCTTTCTTTATGACTAAAATCAGTAGTAATTAGTGTTTATGTTTGAACACTGTGCCTATGTTTTAAATTGCTACTAAGTTTTGAAAAAATTTTGTTTTGCTAATTCAGGAACCTTTAAAAAATATTTTGCTAATCCATGAAATCACTCTGTGAGCATGAAATCAGATGTAGGATATAGTTGAAGCTATCATTCTTCCACATGTTGATTCATTTTTTTCATTTTTTTCATTTTAAAGATAAAAGAACTGAAACATTAACAGACACAGACATAAATAAAACAACATAAAAACAACATAAAATCAACAAAAGCAATACAGAATTTCAGACTAGGTGATAGGAAATTAACAGTGGTAGTTGTATTACATATAGGTATCTTCAAATTGGTTACTCAGATAAACAAATATAGGCCTATAAGGTTGATCAAACAATTAAACATTAACTGTTCCTTTCAATAACACGGTAGAATTAGTAGTACAATTATCTTAGCTATCTTGGGTATATATGTTCATATTTTTCCCCTTCTTTCTTTCTTTTTCTCTTTTCCCTCATTCCAGTTGTTCTTTCCTTTCAAGCAGTTTCTTTCCCTTTCACAATATCTATTGTATCTTTTAGATTCTATTTACTCTTTCAGGTTCTTACACTAGGGAGACAATATAATGTTTGCACACATGAATCTGATTTATTTCACTTATGAGTGTGGTCTCTAGTTGCATCCATTTACTTAAAAAGCCTTGAGTTTATCTTTCTTTATACCTGAGTAATATTCCATTATATAAAAATGCCACATCTTTTTTATCCACTCCTCAGTTGATGGGCATTTGGGTTGTTTCTACTATTTAGGCATTAAAAATTGTGCTTCCTTAAACATGGGTGCACATATATTGCTGTGGTATGATGTTTTTAGTTCTGGAAAAATACCCAAAAGACAAATGGCTGGGTTGAATGGGACCTCTAATCCTAGTTTACTGAGGAATCTCCAGACTGATTTACACAGTGATTACACCAGTCTACATTGCTACCAGCAGTGGGGAAGGGTTCCTTTCTCCCCACAGCCCCTCCACATTTGTTATTGGTTGATTTCTTGATGATAGCCATTCTTTCTGGGGTGAGATGGAATCTCAGGGTTGTCTTAATTTGCATTTGCCAAATGACTAATGATGTTGAACATTTTTTCATGTATTTATTTGCTATTTGTATTTCTTTATCTGAGAAGTGTATATCTCAGTGCCCATTTTTGTATTGGGTCTTTCAATTTGGGAGGGGACCTGATTTTTTAAAATTCTTGATATATTCTAGATAGAAGTCCTTTGTCTGAGGGATGGTTGGCTAAAATTTTTTCCCAATATGTGGATTTTTTATTTTACTCTGTTGGTGATTTCTTTTGCTGCTACACCTTGATTCATGATATATATCCAAAACCTTTATTTCTTCACTCATTGGCACTTTAGTACAATTTAATATATATTATGTCAAATATGTTAGTATGAAAGTTTACTCATATTAATGAATAATTTAAGCCTTCTTTTTAATAGCCCTGTGGTCTCTTGAAAAATGCGGAGAATTGTACATTAACTATGTAATTTTAGCTAGCATTGTCAGTTACTGCATTTGGATCTACCTTCTCAATGCAATAAGAAAAACATAATTTTTCATCTCCATCGATATTGTACTAGTTAATACAAAATTTGATAGGTCACGTTTCAAACTCTCTATGTCTAAGCTGTAAGTGGACTGATAATATTTTTTGAGATGTCAAACATTGAAAGAAATTAATTTTCTTCACATAGTTCATGGGTATCTATATATTTATCTTCAATAAACCCATCATCATCTACCACAAATGATTGTAACTTTTCAAATATTACTGTAGTGTCTTCAGAGTTTATGTCTGGTATTTGTGAGAGAGAATTTGTATTTCCCGTAAAGCTATCTTCACAAGCTTCAGCTTCATGCTCTTCCAGGCGATGGTGATTATAGCTAAGTAGAAAATTATACCACATCGGGCATTTGATAGCAATAAAAATGAGGAGCGAAGTCAACAGGACAGTGACAACAACACCAACAAGAAAAGCCCAACTTTTTCCAAGAGGTTCGTGTTCTTGAATGAAAGAAAGAAAAAGATTTCGTTAAATTGACAAAAATAAAATAATCTTAATTGCATGTTCTACTACTACTATCCAGTATACTGGTATTAGAAACGAGCATATATTACAGTTTCCTTTAGCCAAAAGACATTAATCACTAAATAAGAGATATTTCAATTTGGTGGAAGAATGCATTTTTCTAAAATAACTACAGGTTGAGTATCCCTATCTTGAAAATCCAAAATGTTCCAAAATCTGAAACATTTTGAGCGCAAACATGATTCCACAAGTAGGAAATTCTATCTGTGACCTTGTGTGACAAGTCACAGTCAAAACGCAGGTGAACTGAAAATATTGTGTAAAATTATCTTCAGGTTATATGCATAAGGTTTTACTGAAACATAAATGAATTTTGTATTTAGGCTTCATTCCCATCCCATTATGTATATGCAAATATTCCAGAATCTGAAAAAAGAAAAGCAAAATCTAGACCACTGCTGGTCTCAAGTATTTTCAGATAAGGGATAGTCAACTTGCACTTGTATTTGTGGATTTTGTTACTCACATAAGGTCTTTACTGAAGTACACTTGTTATAACTTGAGTAAACGTGAGGACTCAGAGAAGTTCAATCATGCACAGTGGCGTTTGGGTGATAACTAACTAGTCTTAGTTGGAATCTCAATATTGTGTAAATTTTTTATTGAGATGAATGACTCTTTTTCATAGTTTATGGAAATCCAAAGTGGAGAACAATAGAGTTATCTAAGTTTATTTAATATACCTTCAGCAATATTACTATTCAAAACTAGTACATTACCTGAATTTGTTAAGTTGCTTAGAGAGCTATTAAAAGTTGAGTTGTCAATGGATTGAAAATTAATATAAAGATCTTCAGTTATAGGTAAAGTAAATTTTGAGTGACATTCTGCAGTGTAGGGTACTGTTTTGATACTGTAGTGCTTCAGGATTTCTGGGTAGTTACACATGGTAATATTCTCATTTTCTAGTGAATAAGAAGGAAAAAATTAGATTTATTATGAGAATAAGAATGGTTAACAGCATTTATAAATAGTTTTATCTAGAATTTTTGAACGCTTTTTTGGTGGTGCTAAGGTTTGGGCCCAGGGCCACACACATGCTAGGTGAACATTCTACTACTGAAGCTATAGCTTATCCCTTTTTAAATTTTTATTTTGAGACAGGGTCATGCTAAGTTACCCAGCATGGCCTTGCAGTAGTGATCTGTCTGCCTCAGCTTTCTGCGTGCCTGAGACTATCAGCATGCACCATCATGCAAGGCTAGAAAACTTTTCCACACCAGTACTGGGAATTAAACCTAGATCCTTTACACTGACCTATATCTCCATAGCCCTTTTGACTAATAGATAGATATAGATATAGATGATATAGATGCATATATATATTTTATTTTGAGACAGAGTCTAGCTATTTTGTTAAATTGCTTGTGCTGGGCTTGAACTTTCAATTCTCTTGCCTCAGCTGCTTGGTGTATTTGCCTAACAATGCAGTGAGGGAATGCACATTCCAGTTCAGATATCTTATAAATAAGCATAAATGCAGTATCTGTTTATTGTTTAGTTTGTCTGTTTTAATGAAGGTTTTATGATTAAGATTATAATTACAATCGGGATATGAAATAGACCATGGTTTTCAGCTAACAAAGTAAGGCACCTGGATTTATCTATTCCATGACAAGATGTCCTACGAATATATATAAATTACTTAAAGAAAAAAAATCTTATGTATTGACTCTGCAAACTTACTATGTGGAATGATGGTATCATCTCATATATATGTATGTATATAATATTACATGTATATGTATTTCTGGGGGACAGAGAGAATTTATTCAGCAAGTAATTTTTTATGTGTTTTTTTTTTGTTTTTGTTTTTGTTTTTTTTTTTAAACAGGAATAGTTTTCCTTTTTATTTTTTTATTTTTTGTGGGGCTGGAGATCAAACCCAAGGCACCGTGCATACTAGGCAGACACGCTACCACCAGGCCACACAGCCCCAGCCTAAGTTTCCATTTTATAAAAAAAGTGAAGTAAGATACTTCTCTGGAGCAGAACAGCAACAGTTGTTTTAGTTTTGATGAATTTAAATTATGGTAGCTTACCGAGTATCACATCTGATGTGTTCAGCCAGTTCTGCAAATTGAATAGACTACAAGAACAGTTCCATGGATTTCCATATAAAATTATTATTTCCAGATGAAATAGTTGTGGTTCTTCAAAGTAGTGTAACAAATTTCCTTGCAGATTCAGAAGTTTCAGGTTGTTTAGAGGTGCAAATATGTCAGGATCCAGTTGTAATATTTTGTTTTGGCAGAGGTGTAAGTATTTTAGTTTATGTAAGCCTACAAATGCATTTTGTTGAATCACACTGATGGAGTTTTTACAGATATTTAAGATTTCTAGATTGGAGAGGTTACTGAAACTTCTACTGTGTAAGGTACTGATGTTGTTCTTAGTCAAATAGAGCTCAGTGAGTAAAAAGTACATCTGTAGTACCTGTGTGTCTGTAATATTCAGAGTAATTTGGTTACAACTGAGGTCAAGAATAGTAACATTGTGACTGATATCCGCTGGAATTAAAGAATAATTCTTTTGTGTGAAATTACATTTGACTTCCTAAAAGAGAAAAAAAAAGAAATACATTTACCAGAAAAAACACAAATTTCTCAAAATTTCATAACCAAACACTTGGATATTGGAAGGAAATTACTCTGGAAAAAAAGTGCGTCTAATCATTTTTGATGTTCAGAGTATGAAGTAGGTGGAGCAGGTCTATTTCTGTATAAAATACTTGGGAAGAAGGAGATTCTAATATAACCAGGCAATCCATTTCTAGTTGTTACACAGGTGTCTTCTACCCATTATAATGATTCCAGAAAGAATCTTGTGATATTCCTATTTATATATGTAGAACTGTAAAGCAAGTAATAATTCTGTTAACTTTTTAAATATTCCAGTGGGCAAAGTAGTCTTTGGGGAAATTATTTTAAAATATATACATTTTAATGCTATGGACTGTTAATAATTAAAAAAATAACACTCAATTCAGGTTCTCTTAACAGCTCAAAATTTGGTGTATTTGTTTTGCTTGTGATACTGGGGAATGAGCCCAGGTTCATTTTTATTTTTTATTTTGAGACTGGGTTTTCCTAAGCCACTAATTGCCAAGGTTGGGGTCAGACTTGTAGTCTTTCTTGCCTTGTCCTCCCAGAGTGCTGAGATGACAGACTTGGCCACCATGTACTGCTTGGTTTGGTATTTCAGAACTTTTTTTTTGAGCCAGTGTCAGGCTGGCTTCAAACTCAAAGTGATCCTCCTGTCTCAGCCCTCTCAGTTGGTGATTGCTTGGATTATAGCCATGTACCACTATACCTGGTGTCCGTTTTGGTTGTGTGTGTGTCTTTTTTCCCATTTTCTTGAGACAGGGTTTTGCTATGTAGTTCAGGCTGGCCTTGAACTCATTTTATAGCTCAGGCTGGTCTCGAACTCATGGCGGTCCTCCTGCCTTGGCCTCCTGCATGTTGGGACCACTGATGTGTGCCACCATGCCTGGCTTTACTTTGGTATTTTAATAGGGAGTATTTATTTATACCAGAAATTGAGCCATAGTTGAATTTAATGAAAGAAATGGCTCTTGCTTTAACTGTCTTTGCAGTTGAAATTTCCCCACAGTAATAATAATGCAACAGTAACAATAATTTCCCTCAAAAATAAGTGATTTTTAAAAATGTTTCCTACATTTTAAATTTTTTTCTGTCTTAGAACTAATTTCTGGCCTTATGGTGAAAATTTGGAGATTTCTCCTTTAATCAATATTGGTTCTTTTTTTTTTTGGTGGTACTGAGGATTGCACTAGGGCCTTAAGCATGCTCGGTGAATACTGTAGCACTGAGCTGTTTTATTTTTTCTTTTGAAGTAGAATTTTACTAAGTTGCTCAAGCTGGTCTGGAACTTGGTATCTTTCTACCTCAGCTTCCCCAGTAGCTGGCATCACACTGTGCTGCTTTTTGTTTTTTTAAAGACAGGATCTTGCTATATAGTTCAGGCTGGCCTTGAACTTGTGGCCATCCTCCTGCCTCAGCTTTCCAAGGTGCTGGGATTATAGGTGTGCGCCACCATGCCTGGCTCACATGGTGTTTCTTTTAATCAACTCATTAAAAAACAAACAAAAGCAAAGACTACCTTTGTCAAATTAGGGTCTGGCCGGGATTGCCAGTCAGTTTTGATAGTTTGTATTTTCTTTGTTTTGTTTTCTGCCTTTGAATATTTAAGTAGATGTATAGAAAGCGTACCTTTGAAAAGATTTTCACTACCTTCACTGTAAAAACTTACAGTTTTAGAAGTCTGGCTTTTGTCTGATAATAATAGCATGGAGAAGGGCCAAAACAAGATCGCGATGCTTGTGACTTTCATACCGAAGGCCTGATAGAAAAAAGAGTATTTTCATCTTAGTGGAAGACGAAAACTAGAGATTATTGAAGGCGTATGGGTTTCCTTTTTCCCTTTAAAGTTTAGTTTTTCTTAAAATGTGAAACATTACAGTGTATCACCTTTTACCATCACTGTACTGTGATCTTAACAAACTAGAAAGACCCTGTGAGAACCAGTCAGTATTTTCTGTGGTGTTTCATTAATTCCAGAGCTGTTGCAAGGAGCTCTTAAAGCAATCAAAGTGACTGTACATTTAAAAGTTTTACTACATATGTGCCCAAAGAAAGCATATTAAAGTATATGTTTATGTTACTTCTTTTTGATTTTTCAATTGTAGGTGTTATTTATTCATATTATTCATTGACTTATAATGGTGGGAGATGAAAATCTTTAGCTATCTCTCAAACATTCTCAGCTTAATTGCCGACACACTGGACATTCATTTTTTTAACATAGTTATCTCTAATTTTGGTTGAGATGAGCATTCACTGTTTATATTATCACAAATACATTTAAGCCGTCACCGACTGAGCCCTATAACAGAATTACTTCTATAGTTGTGCATTTTTTCTAAGTTAATTGGGCCTTTTCATGTGCTTCTAGGTTTTTTTTCCATGAATTTATAGCTGTACTTTCCCATAGGAAAATGCATGATAGTTAATTCATATTGAGTATTTAATCTATTTAACCTGCTTAAAAACCCTGCTTTAACCTGTTCTAGAGCCTCCTACCGTTCTCTGCTTTAGGGAAGCCAGCCAACAGGCCTCTGTTCTACGCAGCTGTTGGCTGCTACCTTCATTGCAGATATTCTTTTCTTTGTTCTGGATTTCTGTTTTCTAGAATCCTGTTTCGGTTTCTTGCCATCCTTCAATGGAATAGTTAGGAAATAAATTTTCAAAGTGTTAATAGCATGGCTTCATTGTCTTTTTCATTGGTATGGCATTCTCTTTCTTTACTCTTTGATGTAAAATCTATAATCAATATTCTGAGAAGTTTAAAAACAATATTGTAAAATTTCATGATTGTTTGTGAGAGTTTTCATCAGTTAAACTGGATACTTCGTTGGCTTTTTTAATTTAGAAGCCGTGTCCCTCAGTTACAGGATTTTTTCTTTTCTTTTTCCATTTAAAACTTATTTCTTTGTAGAACTGCCTTAACTGGGTATTGGACTGGAATGACTTTTTTCAGTCTTTATTTTCTTACATTTCATCTCTATAACTCTGCTTTCTCTTTATGTTCAAACTCCTCTAAAGATTTCTGATCGGCCCGGAAGTTTTGACCTGCAGTGTTTACGACCTGGGCCAGTGCACCCTCAGGCAGCCTGGTGGTCCCCGTTCCTGGGAGGTCACCGTATTGGTGCCGAGCGTAAGCGTGGACACCCGATCGGCATGGTGCACTGCAGCCCAGAGCTCCTGGACTCAGGCGGGCCTCCCGCCTCTGCCTCCCAGGAAGCTGGGACTACAGATGTGCGCCACCGCGCCCGGCAGGATTTCTTAGCCTTGTCATTTTTTAATCCTCAAATGTCTTTTTTTGTTCTCTGAACATTTTCCTCAGTAGAATCCTGTTGCGTGAATGTATTATTTTCTTATTTTCGTGTTGGTTGTCTTTCTTCTTGAGTCCCTATCCTGATCTCTATCCCTACCTTACCCCGGAGTGTCCTCACCTTGGGATCGTTTCTCTTGGCCTGCCTGGAATCCACAAAGCGACTCTTCTCATCTCCTGCCTGAGCCATTAAGGTGCAGTGGGCGGCCTGCCGGGGAAAGCTGTGTACCCTCTGCAGCTCGGCAGTGCTGCTGTGCTCACTTGTGCCTGTTGCCCAGATTCCCTTAGTATTTTTTCCCCTCTTCACAAGGGAAAAAGGAAATCTCTAATTTTCTGCGTGGGTGAGGAATATTATTAACTTGTTGGGCAGAGGCAGGGAGGAATAAACCGCTCTTCCTGTTCCCAGAGTACGTGGTAGTGCCAGGTTCTGGGCCACTTAGAGTCCCTGCCTTGTCGACCGAGTGACTTTTCAGCTTTTCCATTGCTGTCGTAGGAAAACTTCACTTTCCTAGTCACCCTTCATTATTAACTTTCTGATTTCTAAGTTTTAATACTGTGCTTCCTCTCATTCTCTCTGTCCTTGTGAATTCATGCTCCCTTTTACCTTTTGTTTCCATTTTTGTGGGGTTTTAAGCAGGAATCAAAGTGTATTAAGGGCATTCAGTGTGGAATTTTTAACTAGAAGTTTCCACTTTTACGGAGAACACTCTGAATACTTCCCTTTTAATGATTTTATGCGTGACCTTGACATTTTCATTCTCTTTCTGCCTCTGTTCTCTCAAAGTGAACATCAGAAACTCTTCTACAAATAAACTGTGATAGTTAAATGACTGTTAGAAAAAGATAGTCTGCCTCTTAGATTTTTTTAACACAACTTGGATATACATTATGGTAGAATCCCCATTAGAGCCAGCCATGAATTTAAACTATGGCTTACGCCAAACCATTGTCTGTAAAAGAGGGATGCCTAAAGCATTTCTTTACAAATGCTGGTTTAGCTGTGTTTAGTGATCGCCAGGAGTAGTTGCACAACCTATTTAATGGCTATTTCTCTTCTCTGTGGTGTGCTGGAGCTCCTGCTGACACCTCCGGTGGGATACAGAGGTGAGTGAGGAAGGGTTAAGGAGAGGTGTTATTTTAGAGAGAGAGAGAAGAGAGGGAGAGAGAAAGGAATGGTTTAAGGAAGCAGGTAAGCTGCAGAGAAAATGAACTGGATTTAAGAAAGAATTGACGTGGAATAGAAGCAGGCAGGGCAGAAAGTGGAGATGAGATAAGGCCCTGACCTACTTGGAAACAAAGAACAGTCTGTGCTTACTATCTTTACCTATTTAATGTAGCTCTTTTCTCCAGGATTCTAGAAGAAATTAAATTATAAGGGTTAGAAAATGAGTCTTACTTTTTCATTGTGATAAATTTCAGAGTTAAATGCTCAGAATTCTGTGCAGGAAAGCATTCATCAAGTGTAAAGCATTATAAAGCTTGATTCATATGATCCATGGTCTTTTCTATATGTGTGTATCTTATGAAGGGAAAGATTGACCATCGAGACACTGAACGAATCCCTAGACAAAAACACCTGCTCGCGTTGCTGGCTGTCTTAAAGAACTCAGACTGGAGAGGAGCACATTAGTACATCATGTGGAATTGTCCCTGAGTTACTTTACTCTTTCAAAAATTTGATTTAAAAAGATAATTACTTTGCCTTTTTATCTATTTAGACTTTTTTTCTTAACTTGAAATTTATTTTGGAATGATGTTTGAATTTGAAGGATTACTTAGGAACTAACAAAAATAGAGAACATGTGGGATATCTGTTTTTTTTTTAGTTATTTCATAAAATTAAGAGATCTTTTACATAGCCTGCTATGTAATTAGAGACTTAAAAAACTACATCAAAGGAAATGAAAGACATTTAAAAAAAAGTCATGTTTTTAATGAAGTTTCAAGTACAACCTTAGGTTATTTACTTTATATGATTATTATATGGAATGAAATGAAAAAGATACAATTATTTTACTTTTACAGATAGATGAATAAAATCAATATGTAAGTTTGTCATTAAGTATTTTAGATATTTATAGCAGGACTTAGTATATTTGGAGTAAGATTTAAATGATTGACAGCTTCCCATACCACTTCATAGAATTTTTTTTTAATTTAAAAACTTACTGTAATGAAATGTTTCATGGGAAAATAACCAAAGTTATGGGTAATCATTATCACCAACTTCAAGGGTTTCAACTATGGTAGTGATTCTTTTTAATTCTTGTTAATTTGTTTTTAGGTTAAAAAGTCATGGTAGTGATTCTTTTTAATTCTTGTTAATTTGTTTTTAGGTTAAAAAGTCACTTGAAAATGCTCTGATTAACATATTTCAAAATAAAAGTATTTCGTAAATTTGATTTGCTAGGTGAAATCTTCTGCCCCCACCAGAAAACCAATTTATTTATAGCTTTGTGAAAGATTCTTTGGTCATATCCTAGACTTATGTTATTTCTGACATAGGCCATGTGAAAATATAATCATATTTTCTATCCTTCCTTTTAAGGCAAAAATTATTGTATAGTCTTAGCAAACTTATTTTTTTAAATTCAACAACCACCACCAAATCTATGAATATATGCGAACTTACCTTTCCTTTTTTCCTTTTATCTGTGAGATTGGTGTGCTAAAAAAATTTATTCTGTTTCTTCAACACCTTAAGAAAAAAATATGTCATATGATGGTATTTCGCTTTGTCTTAACCTTTGTACCCAATGAACAAGTGATTAAAAAAAAGCTGGACTTGCTTAGCAAAAGATTGACTACAGGAATAATTTCTTAAAGTCATCTCTGACTTTTTTAGTGTAACTACAAAGGCATTTTGCATAACCTCTGTGTTTTAAAATTATTTTTCAAAAATGTATCAAAATATTAAGAATTTTATTTTGTGATGTAAAGTACATAGTACTGAGAATGCATAACTTTAAATGATATATTGTTTCCAATTTATGTTAGTTCTAAAGTATTTTGTATTTAGAATGATTCAAATTGAAAAGCTACCACCACGTTTTGTACTCCGTTGACTTATTTTACTTTGTTATTTACTCATTTTTATGACACCTTCCTGGATTGTTTTACTGCCATGTTGTACAGGAGCAAAGTGCTTTAAGCCTCAGACGATGTGACAGTTGGTCATTATGTAGCATTTGGAAAATCCACTGCCTTCCTTGTGCAGTGTAATTTCTCTCCTCAAAAATGGAATTCTGTACATTAGTTCCCATGTAACTACAGTAGACATAGTAGGAAGAAATACTGATGATAGCATTCATAACATTTAGAGTAAATGAGTTCTAAAAAATTAACTCCTCCAGGCTTTAGTAGTCTTAATCCATAAAACAAGAGATTGAAATAGTTGATCCTTTCTGGGTAAATGCTTTGTGAGCTCATATACGCATAGAAATTGTAGCAGCAAAAAGCACATTTGTTTTACTATAGTAGTTGAAGTGCAGAGGGAAGTCTGTCCAGCAGTGAGACAAAAGTGAACTGAAATGTCGGTGGCGTTGTATTCATCTTGTATTTGATTATTATGAGATGTTATGGATGGGAAATTTATGAGGTTGGATTCTTTGTGATGTCGCAGGATATGAGTATGTAGAAGGCATGGGGATATGTTCATTCACTAGGCTTAGGTGGTGATTGTACAAACTGGAAAAGTCTGACCTGTGAGTGAAAGAATAAATACTGAAAGAATAATCAATCAGATTTTGAAATGCAGTCAGAAACTTGTGATCTTGAGACTGGAATTTTATGTTAAGTCCAGCTTTTTGTATATGAATCTTACTGTATTTGTATAGCAAATGATGTCACCTGTTTTTCAGAAATTCTTTCTACCCTACTAATAATTGACTGCATAGAAAAATTCTCACGGATATTTCTTGTGATATGATAGGTGGTTATTCTTATTAACTTTATCCTTACTACTTAATAGTTAATGTATTATTTTACAGTGCTAAAATATATTAGATTAATGCAGTAAGGAAAAAGAAATTTAAGCAAAGCATATTATTAATCTAAAGCTATGATTTTTTTTTTTAAGTCAAATTGCCTTGTAGGCCTCTCTGCTTGTGAGCTCAGTCAAAACTGCCATGCTTTCTATGATTTGTATGGCAAACTTTTATACAAGATTTCATTTGGTCGAAGAATTCTGTGGCTAAAGGTTGTTCAAAAACCACTATTCTAAAATCTAACTATCTCACGTTAGTCTTTTGAGGATATCATAACAAAAAGTGTAACTGCATCCTCATCTGTTTGAGGTCTTACAGATTTTCTCTGGTGACCTTTGTGTTTTCTTAGGAAAATGGGTAATAAAGAAATACAATTTGGAGATGGAGAAGAGAAAGATAAAATAAGTCTGTGTTGTGGGGCCAAATTGCATCTAATTTAAATAAAGTTGAATATCTTTAAGTACCCCATTAAATTAAGACTGTGACCTGACTGTGAAAAGACCTTGATTTATTTTCTTCAATACTATCATAACAGGAATACTGCATGATTTTGATTTCAGGAAAGAAAAACAAATCGGAAGTGTAGAAGAAGAAATTGAACAAGAAAAACAAGCAGCAGATGGCATTATCAGAAATATGTCTTCTGAGAAGCAAGTCAAGTATATAGAGATGAAAAGCACGAATGAGACATTGTTACGGGTAAGACTGTGTTAGCTGTTACTGAGTGCTAGGCCTGCAGCAGTCTTGCTGCTCAAAGTATGGTCTGAAGGTCAGCAGCGTCAGCTTCTGGTGAACACTTGAGTAGACCTACTCCACAGTCTTCATGTTAATGAAGTTCTGTGCTAATTCATGTGAATATTTAAATTCCAGAAGCTGTAATCTCAGCACTTTGGAGTCTGAGGCAGAAGGACTGCCATGAGTTCAGGGCTAGCTAGGGCTACATAGTGAGTTCAGTATGGCCAGCCTGGACTGTATAGTGAGACCTGTCTCAAAGAAAACAAAGCAGAACAAAAAAACCTTTCAGAAGCACTTGTCTAGATGACTTCATTTTTTTATTCTGTGTAATGACCTAGGTTTCTTACAATTATTACTTGCTCAGTTCTGTGCATCCTTCACTTTTGCATGTTATAAAGATGCATAAAAACACTAGTATATTTAATGTACTTTTAATGGAGTCATTAAAAGGCTTCATGGACCAGCATCATATGGATATTAACACTCTTTTCTTTCTTGCCTGAGAAGCGGCAAACCTGTTGTGTCCCTGATTTGAATACTTGCTGCCCTCTAATCATACCATATAAATAAGTAATTTAGGTGCCCATTGTGGGATTATTGATAATCCTCGCATTGTTCAGTTGTGATGCTCCCTTTTCATGCCCAGATCACCCTTTACCAAAGGGTTAAGGAAGAGTTAGGCCCTGTAAGCACCAGAAATAAATGTAGTTTACATTGTGCAGACATCACTTCACGGACATTTTACTCTTTTTATTTTAGACAAGATTTATGAGATACAATAAAGCATTAAAGAAAGAATGTGATAAAAGTGCCAAAATACTACCAAAGCATACTTAATTTTTGTAGGGGGTATGAACGAGTAGTTAAAAGGGCCAGGAGTAAACCATGTTTATGTGTACGTATGGGCGCACGCGTGCGTGCGTGTGTGTGTGTGTGTGTGTGTGTGTGTGTGTGTGTGTGTAGGGCTTCACCCTAAAAGAAATAATTCAAAACGTATGAAAATGTGGTTAAAAGTCAAAATTGAAAATCCTAATTTAAGCAATGACATCCTTAATTTGAAAACTTGATATTTAATATTTTCAGGCAGGCGCTTATGCCACTGAGCTATATCCCTAGCCCCCTAATATTTTCAGAATGCTGCTGATTTACTGTGAAAAGGACTAGCTACTTTCAGTAAACTTTCTGTAGATATGTGGCACAAGGTTTTTAGGAATAAAGAAAGAAAAATGAAATAATTGAAAAAAGAAATAATGAAATGTTAGTAAATTCTAGTCAGTATGGAAAATACTGGTTGAAGGTGTTTACAAAACGTCCTCTACTATCTGTACAGTATTTGAAATGTTGAGAAACGAGGAAGTAATTTATACTTATATTTGCCTTTTTATTCCTTTTTAGGAGTTAGATACCCTTCAGCAACAATTGGATTCACTGAGCATGAAGAAGGAGAGCCTGGAAACTGTAAGTACACAATCAAATACAGGTTCTCATGTCATAGCTACAAAAGATATTAATGCAACTCACCCACTTACATGCATGTATATTTGGCAGATTAGTACAGGAATTCTATAATATTTCTTCCTGTCATAGACCACAGAGATCTTAGTTTGGTAAGAAGTTAGATGCACTTACTGAATACCTATGGTATACAGAGTAAACTATTCTGCCTTAATGGGCCATGCCAGAATCTAATAGCAACTTGGAGACATATGCACAGAGACTAAAATAAAAAGGAAAAGTGAGATAAAAAGGAAAAGAAATCAATCACTTTAAAGCTGTAAAAGCTTGCATTTGTCTTCTAATTTATTTAAAGCAATTTTTAATTCACATTAAAACCCCACGTGTATAATTAAGAGAGTCAAAAAAGATGAAAGTACAAGCAGAATTGTCTTTTCCTTATCCTTTTATCCAGAGAGAGCTACTGTAACATTTTTTGAATGCTTACTATGTGTCTTTTTGGGCTCTTCATACATATCACTGGCACGGTCAATTAATTTTCATAACCATCCTGTAATCCTGTTTTCCTTTTAAAGCTGTAGGAAGCCACAAATGAGATTTCCTACAAGTGGGCCTATGAAATGCTGATACGCTACCTGCAACTTTTTTTTCTATCTTAACATTATCTATTGGTTGTTTTGTTTTTCAGTCCTGGGATTGAACCCACGCATGGTAGGCAACACTCTACCACTGAGCTGTGTCCACAGCCTATCATCATCTGTTGAATTTTTTATCATTTTGGAGACCCTCATTATTTTAAGTCATTTCTGTGTATAATGTTGTGTTATTATAACAGTAATATAGATGAATAGGTTGTCATTTTCTGCAACTATACACTCTAATGAAGACATGCATTTTATGCAAAGTCATACATCATAAGATTAATTTCTTTTTTCTTTTTTCCTTTAAAGTGAATAAAAAACAATAACAAAATAGCAACAACATAGACAAAAACAAAACAAAGCAAAAACAGTGAAAATGATACAGGGTTTCAAAACAAAATGATAGGAATTAACAGTGGTTGTTATATTAAATATTGTTATCTTCAGTGAAGTTGCTCAGATAACCAGGTATAAGAATGCAAGATTGAGGGGCTGGGGATTTAGCTCAGCGGCAAAGCGCCTGCCTGGCAAGCGCAAGGTCGTGAGTTCAGTT